TTTTTGGTTTTTTCAAAAAGAAGAGCGGTGCGGGGGGGAGGGGGGGGTTGTAGTCAAAAAGCGATTGCAACTTGTTTTTGAAATGGCATGCCAGTAAATTAAAAAAAGTTATATAGGGGTGCCTTGAGTTTAAAAAGGTTGAGAACCACTGCTTTAGAAAGTAGCCCCTACATTACTAATTACTAATTTTGCTTTAATAAAATTATATCTGGCTTCAGGACCCAGGTGGACAAAATGTTTCTACCAGTGTAATGAGCTTTACAGAAATTTAAAAAAGGAGAGGGTGGGTGGCCTAATTCATACACTGGGATAATTTCACCCAATCCAGTTTAGAGTTACCCTGAAAGAACCTCTAATGTATCTCTGATAAATCCCCGATAAACCTCTGCAGGTATTGTCTCTGTATAATTTACTCCTGGGTAGATATTGGTTCAAAGCTAACCATTAATTTCACCTGCTTCCCTACCTCGTAACAAGGCATTGTGATAACCACCTACTACTGCATGCAATAGTACAAGACAGCTTCACTCTTCCAGTCCACTGTTTTTTATATTGGTGTACAAAATCAGTATAATTTACATTGCTCTAAACATCTCATCAGTCCAGCCCTAAAATAATAAATTGCCTGCTGGTTTTGTACCATACTTGAAGATCATCTCTTTTATATGCACATAGCCATCCAACTGACATGATATTCAATCTTTGATATTAACAGAGCAACAGGATGATTCGTCAAAGGATGAGATGAAAACTGATGCTGATTCCCAAAGCTCCTGCATGGAACTAGAAGGTATAAGCAATGCTCTGAGAACAACAAAGAAGATAAAAATGCAGTTCATGATTCAAGTATTATTGGCATGAGACTCACAGTGGTATCTGATGTACCAGTCATTTCTCTTTATATAAAAGACCAAATTCATGGAGCTGCATTTCCTTACAGTAGATCTCAATTTAATCCAGAACTGGAAATAGCTGTGATATTTCAGCTGGAAGAGATAAATGCTGACTACTGTAAAAGTAGAAAATGTAGGGGATGGATTGTACATGCCTTCACCTTGATGGTGAGCACTCAGTCTGAATCTTGCAAGGGTCTGACTACTCTGAGTACTCTGAACCTGATCCAGTAAGTAACTTGGTACACACTTAACTTCAAGCCTCTGAGCAGTCCCAATGAAGCCTTGCACTGTTAGTAACTGACAGTACTTTTCTGGATCAGGGCCAGACTGCTCAGCACCGTAATTGCAACTCATGCCATTTGTAGTGCCTTGACAGCAGTGGGCCTGCTTGCCTAAGTGGCTGCTAACCAATGTGAATAAAGACTCCACAGCCTGATTCTGTGCTAATGTTTTTAATGATCACCACTGTAGTCTGTATAAAACATTTTATTCAGCCCCATTTCTGAACTCCCTATTGCCTGACTTGTCTTTCTTATGAAATCCTCTTTAGAATCTTTGTTGATCCAAGAAGATGCAGTAAAGGTGGAGAAACCTGTGATTCCTGTAATAGACGAAGATAAAGAAGGAAACAAAAAAGAAAAAACAGGTAGGACTCTCTACAAATTAGGGCTAGGTAGAGAATTCAGCTGGCCTGACGTGTTCTCATGGAAAGCTATGTTTGTGTTAGCAAGCATAGTTATTCTTTATCTATCACTGCAATTTTCTTAAGTGGAAGAAACATAAAAACCGTGCATGTAGGTAATATTCTTGGGGGGGTTTCTAAGTGATATTAAAATGTTGTTATGCATTTCGCTTGAGTACACTCAAGACAATTTTAAGTGGAGAAAAGCAAGAAAATCAAGTTTAAATTGGTTTTAAAAACACATTAACTGTTTATCATAAGTTTTTTATGTTCACTTTTATAAATTGCTGATTACAGGAGGAATTATGTGGATACTTAAGTACCTGCTTTGTCATGTTCCCTGGAAGGACAATATTAAGTGTAGTTACAATGAATGGGTGTGAAAATGATTTGTGATGCCATAAGCAGAGATTTAACAAGTAACTAAAACTAGTAATTCTCATGAAGAGATCAATATTTAGAACACATGCACAGAGTTCTGCTGAATCAGTAATATTGACCATGAGCACAGTTTTAAATGCCTATCTATTAATTCGTGAAGAAACTCGGAAGTTTAATTTTCAGAGTAATAGTTACATTTTCAAAGCCCTACCTTTACATAGTCATTTGTAATAGTCCTGTGTTCACACAAAAACCAATACCGTATGTTATGTAAATAGTTCTCTTATTATAAAGCAAATGCAGATTAATAATTATATGGGCTCCCTTTGTAAAACACAGAGATCAATTACAGTTTGAAATTAAAACTGAGACATGATCTTATCTGAAAATCCAGGTCAATGCTAACTACATCTTCCTAATTATGAACTCCTTTTGTCAGCTACATTGACACTGACTTAATTGCAAACCTATGTTAGTAGCATTGACACTTTTCTTCACTGCAGTCCCAGGTTAATAGAACTTAATAGAACTCTGCTCATATCCAGTTTAACAACATTTTCTCTTTTTATTGCAAATCCAAGTTGAGACTAATCACACCTCTTTATTACAAGTCATGCTAATGGTATCTGTGTTGTGTTTTATTACTGACAGTAATAATATAACTGATGTAATCCTTACTTCAAATCCAAGTAAATGGTATTGCTCTCCTTCAGTTGCATATCCAGGTTATATAACACAGGCTCACTCTAACTGCAAATACCAAAGTCATTATGTTAATTTGCTCCTAATAGAAATTATTTACATTTTATTTTATGCCTCATCAAAAGCAAGTTGGACAAAATGTACTTTCATTATTTGTACATTTCCTCTTCTTTAATACTTCAGTGTGCCCTACAGCTAGTTACTGTCATTTAGTTCTCAGTGGATAAATTATATTTCACCATCTGCTCTACCTAGCATTTAAATATGCAGCATTAGGAAAGGTAATGTCAAAAAAAGGGACATTCTTGGCACTTTTTTTTGCCCTTTATTTCAAAGGTTCAAGTATCAACAAAGTTAAAGGATCTTTCTGAATATTTTGGAGCATATTCCCACTTTGACATACTTCTTATTAATGGTATTTATACATAATTAGAACCTGAAGATCATGGAATGATTCCCTTTGACTTCAGTGAGCTTTTGACCAGGCCTGTAAGAAATAGTACTGTTTTATTTAAACATGGGATAAACAGGGTTCAGTTAAACCTCTGGGTATTTCTTCTCATTTGTTTTGAAATGCACTGCCTTTTAAAGTACCTGAGATTTGGAGAATAAATCAATACTTTTTAGAATTCCAGACAAGGAAAGAAGAGTCAGGCTTTCCCCTCATTTTATTTCATTCTAATAGGTATAACAATATATAGGTAATCTTCACAATAGATCTTATAGGATTTTTTCAGGTTTCGTGCGCACATGTGCTTCAGTATTGGACTTGAAAGTTTGTCATTACGTAAGAGGGATCTTAAAAGGAAGAGGGAAAAAAATCAGCTGCAGTTTGTGCTGATAAAAGTGTACAATGAGTATGTCCCAGAGAGACTTCTAATGGAAAGAGTTCACCTGGCATAAAGCAGAGATTTTATATATAACACTATCTCATGTAACCAGAGTGCTGCCTCATAAACTAATTCAGTTAAATGTTTTCCCAGAAGCACCTACAGTACTTTTGAAGTAAAACATAATAGCATATCTTGGTCTAATAATATTTGAAAAAAAGATAATACCGGAATGCAATTCCCATTAAACAAAAACCCAGTCATACCTCTTTGCTTTCAAGGTAGAAATAGTGCTTTTGATCTGCATGTGCATATTTGACTTTACCATAGTGCAAAATGTGATCCTTGTCTGCTCTAAACTCAGTGCCTTTTTTACAACTAGACTGAGCCCTGCGTTCAACCCAGAGGAAGAGAAGACATGTCACTGCCACCCTCAGAGAAGCAGTTAGGATAGTGGACTGCCTGTGGCCATTTCATATTAATCTCTGGAAAGATGGAGCCCACTAAATACGTCAGATTCACTTAGCCAACACAGACCTGGTCATGTCAGAATACTTGCCTGGTGGCAGCACAGCATTTTCATAACTAGAGTTGATTGATAATTTTCCAATCAGATTTTCAAAGGAAAATGACAATTAATTGATACTGAAGTGCTTTCTGAAAATGTTTCAGTTTTGATAGACATCAAAAGAGATATAGGCAGGTTTCCAGCAGAACCTTCTTTGATTTTCTGCCAGCTCCATGAAAGGGCTATTGAGAAACCTAAGCTAACAGACTCTGCAGCTCTGGGACAACCCTAGTATGTGAGACAACCCCAGATCTGGGAACCACAGGGCTTCCAAGCTCCTTGTTGCAAGGTGAGGAGCTTAGCAGTCCTAGCCCAAGGTTTTCTGGCTCTTGGACAGCCCTGCCATGCAGCCTAGCCTTGATGATCAGCTACCAATGGTCCATGGATCTGGGATAACAACAGAATAAGGAACTCAAAGGCTTCCAGGGTTTGGGGTTCCAGAGCATCCCCATCAGCTTCCCTTAGTCAAGCAGCCTGGGGAACCAACTGAGCCTTGGGTTAGGAGGCCTTGGGATGCTCTATGTCTGTGTAGCTAAAGCCCTGGCAGGTGCTGGCTGAAACTGATATGACTCTTGTCAATTGCACTGCTGCCCACCATTCAGTACCAAAACCAAAAACTAGTTTCTTGCAAAGCATTTTACAATAAAAAGCACTTAAAGCATGAGTTTTGAGAAAAACAAAAATCTTGCATTTCCAAAACACGGATAAAATCAGTAGTAATATGCTATCGGTCTCACTTTTCCTATCTTAACTAGAAGTTATATATTGAGAGCAAATGAGGAAATGAGACCAAGATGCATTCTACAGTATTTTTTTCAGCTAACTAGAATCTACTCAGATCTAGTCTGCACAAGAATAATGAAAACCTGCTTTTCTCATAAGATTAGGGAATATTCTCAAATCCCTTTATTAAAAAGCAGAGTAAGTGATGATTGCTGACCTATTTGCTGACCAAACAGGACATACTGGAAACAGTATACAAATGTTTTTAATCTAAAGCTTGGCCTGCCTTTATATAGACATTTAACAAAGGAGGGTGTATTCGTAACAGATGCACATTCATTGTTTAGTGGTGTTTTGAATCAGCTCAGTTTTCTACAAGACTAATAATATTTGACAAATGAAAGTGAAACACATTTTACTTGTCCAAATGTGTAACCATTCCTTGCTCTGAGCCTGCTCTCTTCACTTTCTCTTTCCTACCCTTATCTCCTACAAAATCAGTCTTTTTTATACAAAAGTATTGAATTGGATGATTTCCCTTATTTGTCACCCATGGAGATTGCTCAGCTCTTTGGAGGATAAAATCCCTGCCAAAACATTTGCATGGGAACAGAAGTTGCCAGTAGTTGGCTGCTGTGCTCCATTTCCATATACTGGCTAGAATATTTTCTGTCATCTCATTGTCATTACAGTGTTATCCTAGAATTTAGGGGGGTCCTGTTTAGCTCAATACTATTTTTGTAGTCTCCTCTTTTCTTAGAGAAGTCTGCCAGAGATTATGATTTCTCAGATCCAGTCTGTTTATTCTTCCTAAAGACCCATGTCATTTTTCAAACACAGTAAACCTAATCAATTCATAATGAAAATTGTCAGTGCATGTTCCACCAGTGGGACACTTAGGATCC